AAGCTTGGTAAAGAGAGAGGACTCAGGACTCTAATGGGTAGTGGGGTAGAAAGACTGAACAAGTCTCCAGGCAGCAGTACTACCATGCCATTTTGGGGTGCTGCTTTTCAGCAGATTAGGATCATTCATATTCAATTATAAGGTCTATCACAAATAGTTTACTCCTGTAAATTAGAGCAGGTTAAAAATTAGCCCAATATTATCACTTGTATTCCCCCATTTGCTCTCTTGAGGGGACAAGAAATGGATGGAATTACTGCCAGCCTATCAGAAATTCTGAGTAACTTGGTTTCTCAGTTCTGGTCTTTATTCCCAAATGTCATCATCAAGTGGCAGAAAGGTTGAGAGCCTCTTTATTTCAGTTAGAACCAAGCACGTTTTGGGATCACAAGTCTTTGAATACACTTGTGAAGTTTCACAGGCTTCAAATTTAGTCTGGATCATTTGAGAAGCTTATTCTTAAATGTACCTTGGTGATCCTTGTGGGTTTCACTGAGCTGTCCATATTCTACAGTCTACATTGGCTACACAACTTCATGCTTTATCACCAGGTGCTTTCAAAATCATTTCACCGGGATGTCCTAATTCTGACACAGAACCTAGAAGCCATAAAAGGGGAAGATTTAAGAAATCTACCACATAAAAACAATTTCTGCCATGATAAGCAAATAAAGTGACAAACTGTCAGGGGGTGGGGGGGGGCAGTATTTAAAGCCAGCTCATTGCAAGGTCTCCTGCCAATTAAGCCAATTAATTAAGAAAAAGACCAAACACAATAGAAAAGTGCTCATTTAACATCACTGAAAGGCCATCAGCGAAACTCAGCTTGTGGAAAACCTCTAAAGGTTTATCGCATTTCTTCAACAACTAAGAAGGGAAAAAAGAAATGGAAGGGGAAACATTAAGATTAAAAGAAATGAGAAACAGGCACTTCAATTTCACTAAAGATATCTGAATGGTCAATAAGCTTATGAAAATATGCTCAACATCATTTATTGGGACAGCAAATGAAAACCACAATGAAATACCACTATCTACAGAATGGCTAAAATTACAGGCTGAAAACATCAGATGGTGAGGATGTGGACCAACTGGAACTCTCATATTGTTTGCGGGTGTTTAAAACAGGATGACCACTCTGGAAAAGGGTATGTCAATTTCTAGTAAAATTAAAAATGTATCAACCTTGCAATTTAGGATATTCTACTAAGTACTTACCCAAAAGAAATTAAAACGTGGGTCCACAAGAAGCCTTGCACAGGATATTCACAGCAACTTTATTCATAATAGCCAAAAACTGGAAACAGCCCAGCGCCCACAAGCTGTTCACCCGACAAGTGAAAGGTTAAACTATAGCATATTCATACAATGGAATACTACTCAACAATGAAAAGGAACAAAGAGCTGAAACACATAGATGAATCTCAACACATGCTGAGAGGAAGAAATTTACACAATAATACATACTGATTCCATTTCTATGAAGTTCTAGAATAGGCCAAACTAATCTATGGTGAAGACAAAATCCTAATAAAAAGGGATGGGAGAGGTACAGGAATTGACTACAGAAATTTTCTGACGTGATGGAAATGTTCCATAGCTTGTATAAGGGGTTTGGGTTACACAGCTGTATGTCAAAACTCATCAAATTAATATTTGTTCAATTCACTGTAAATTTTACCTCAAGAACAAGAAGTCTACTTAATGATATGGATGCCACAAAGCTTAAGATTCAAGTATAGATGTCTACAACTTTGACACACATAAAGAAAAAAGACTGATGGGTGCACAGATACATGATGAAGAAAATATGGCAAAATGTTACTTGTAGAATCTAGGTGGTAGGTATAGGCATGTTTTTAATCCAACTTTTCCAGATACTTGAATTTTTTTATTAAAACATGTTGCAGGGGAAAAAAGAGACATAATAACCATTGCAATGTGTGGACTGTTGTTCAGATCATGATTCAAATATACTTTTATATAGATATTTGATAAGAAATTAGTATTTTTAGGAATGATGGTACTTTTTAAAGTCTTTTTTTTAAAAGAGATGTACACTGAAATATATCCAGATAAAATGATGCTGTCTTGAAGTTGATTTAAAATTAATGAGGATAAGTAGATGGGGATTATAAGAGAAAAAGAAAAATGGGGAGAGGATATGAAGACAAATTTATAAGAAAAAAATCCCAAAGCCCCTTAAACATGAAGAAATGCTCCATCATAAGAGAATACCATTCTGTGTGTTTTTTTTAACCTTGGCAGATTGGCAAAGAACAGATTGCTAATACACTGTGTTGGGGGGCTATGGGGAAATGGACACTTGCATTGCATTGCTGGTGCAAACTAAGGAAAAACAAATTATAGATATCAATTGAATTTTAGATATAAATTACAAGTGCACATACTCTGATCATTTATCCTACAGAGAAATTTATGTATGTACAAAATGATACAAATTTATACAAGGTAATTCATTTCAGCAGTATAACAGCAAAAGGTTGGAAACAATTTACATCTTCATCAGTAAGGACAGGTTAAATGAAATACACCCACACTGTACAATCATTTTAAAAAATGAGGAAGGATTTTATATACGGATATAAAATATTTAGAATGTAATTAAATGGGAAGAAATGTACAGAATAGTATGCATACTATGCTATAATTTATATTTTTTAAATAAATGAAAATGCCTATTAATATTTGCTTATCTATACAGTAAAATCACTGGAAGTTTACATTAGAAACTGATAACAGGGTTGCCTGAGAAGGGGAACTAAGTGGCTGAAGTATAGGATGGGAAGGAAACTGCTCACCGTATAGCCCTTCATATCTCTTGAATTTTATTTCCTTCAAAAAACCACAAAATTTAAAAATTATTCTATTTATTTTCGTATCATCGAGGTTTAAGAACCAAATTAAACCTTCCTATATCCTCTTCCTGAAATTCAGTAAGAAAACCACCCAACTAAAAAAACTGGGCAAAAGATCTGCACACCTCACCAAAGACAATATGCCGATGCAAATATATACAGATGTCAACATCCTGCACATCATGGCACTGCGAATTAAAACTAAGTATCACTACACACCTATTAGAATAGCTAAAATTCAAAACACTGACACCACCAAATGCTGGCAAGGATGAGTTGCTACAGGAACTCTCATTCTTTGCTGGTAGAAATGCAAAATGGTTCAGCCATCTTGGAAGACAGTTTGGCAGGTTCTTACAAAACTAAACATAGTCTTACCATATGATCCAGCAATCACACTCCTTGGTATTTACCCAAATGAGTTGAAATCTTATGTATACATAAAAACCTACACACAAATATTTATAGCAGCTTTATTCCCTTCGTACAAACTTCAGAGATTTATTTTCTGATCTGCTGAATTCAGGCGGGAAAAATGTATTCCTACTACATTAGAGCAATTTTTTTTTTTCAAAGCCCTGGCACTTAGGCACTTTACTGCTGAGAGATACCACTCTACTCTATAACACAGGCCCTACCAATTGAACGTGAACCCTTTCACATAATTTAGGGAAAACTCTCAAAATAATGGAATGTTTTAAATTATAAAATGATCAAGATGTAATCCAGAGAAAAATCTCCAAGTGAGAACCCGCTAAGGGACTGTTTAGGGCAGAGGATGCCAATAGGGCATGTTAACTAGTAATAAGCAGGGTCACTGCCTCAAAATGTCACATAGATGGAAGTGGCTTTCTCCTGCTTCTTTCTCTCCACACCACAGAAGTGAGAAGGATTTAGAGCCTACTGCTCCACAGCAGAATCAGTCTCCCTTGCCACCTGGCAGAAGCGTCTGACCCAGACGTGGAAAGACAAGCACAAAATGGTTCTGCTTAATTCCCTGGCAGAAGTGAGTATATCACATCAGATCACAATCTTCAACAATCTTCTCCTTGGTATTTACATGCTCCTTATGCGTCTTCCCTTGCAATTCCTTTGAGCTAGCCAAAGCAGGATATGGGTAACCTGGACATATCCAACCCCACTATTTCTGAGAGCTTTACCACAAAGGAAATTATAAAGACAAAGAGGACCCAAAGAGAAGAGCAAAATTCATTGTCATTATTTCTTTCAATAGCAAATGATGATGCATAATCCAGTCTTGTCAAATTTCAAGAGGGAGAAGTATGTCTTTAGATGGGATAAAAATAAAAGATTACTTTTATTCTATTATCTGTTTTTCTTCCCTTTCTAGTAATTTTCTAGTAATTTGCCTTGTCAGCAATTATTCATTTACTAATGTAAATTATGAGCAATAACCTACTAAAGGAAGTACAGGAAAGTGTATGAATTCATAAGATGACTTCCCAAGAATGCCCACCTTTTTTCTGAGAACTTGGCCACTAGTGTGACAAGAAGATACACACTTCAAGCTTACCCACCACGTAATATATTAATGCTTTGCTCTCATTCTTTTCAGAGAGATGTGCAAGGGAAACTCATTATCTTTTTTATTTTTACGTATTTATTTGTCTGCACCGGGTCTATAGTTGCGGCATGCGGGACCTAGTTCCCTGACTAGGGATCTAACTCTGGCCCCCTGCATTGGGAGCATGAAGTCTTAACCACTAGACCACCAGGGAAGTCCCTCATTAGGTTTAAAATAAAGTAATTGCAAATGAATTAATTCCTCACCAACCCCAATCCTAATCAACACTACAGATTTTTTTCCACAGACCTACTGCTAGAGGGAGAAAGAAAAGATCGCATTCTAGTAGCTCATATGGCTACAGACACCAGTTCTTATAGCTCAATACATTCAACCACATATGAAAATACATTTCTATTTAGGTCGTAATACGGAAGATGTTAAGCTGGTTGACTGAATCATGCTCTTATAGGATGATAAAAGCAAACACAATTACAAATTAACCATTTCTTCTTATAATAATATACCAGGACTTGATGTAATAAAAATGTACTAGGTTGATTCACACACTCCAAAATAAATACTCTTAGGTAATCTTCAGCCTGAAACAAGCCTTCATTTATTGACTACTTACAGTACAGTGATTCCGTATCTTAGCTGGTAATCAAAGATGGTTATGTATTAAGTGAGAGAAGACATAATCTCTCTTCCAGATACCACCTCTCAGAAATCTGGGCTAATTAAACTTTAAGAACTAGAACTGCATCTCCTGGTAACCACGTCACCCTGAGAACAGGAACAAGGCAAAGAAAACATACAGGACTTTGATTCTCCTACACAGGTACACATAAAGTTAGTTTATTAATGACTACATTTTGAAGCCAGCCATTTTGATCCAATATTTAAATAACAAGCTGTTTAATATTAAAGCAGAAAATACTGCCACAATGTGACAGAAATATAGCTTTATCCATAATCCTTTCACACGATTATACATTAAATGCTATTTGTAGTTAAGCAAGGCACCCCTACTTGTTCTAAAATATGGGATGTGCTACCCCACTGAAAAAGCAAATGAGACTCAGATTTTTTCCTATCTAGAGCTGGTTTAAATTCAAGTGAAGCCATTAATGTCCTTACCAGTCAGGACTGTTATGACATGTCACTTCACAGTATTGAGACTAACACACACCTTAAGGTCTACCCCAAAACCAAAAACAGGTGGGGGGGCAGGGGTCAGACAACTTTTACATTAAGACTATAATTGCCTCCTTAATTATACAGGCACCAATGTTAAATGCCTTCAGCACAAGGCTTAGAAAGGCAAAACATTTCTAAAGACATAAAACTGCCAAACTGTTGTCATTTACACTCACTAACCTGTGGTATTTGTTTTTTGTTTTGATTTTTTTAAAATTCCTACCCCTATCTAAGTAACCAAATACACCTAAAATTAAAATAACTCTGCCAAACCATAATGGTTCAAAGGTCTGAAACCTTTCCTTGCTTTGGTGAGTATTTGGTTAAAATAATCAGTATTTCATTCCATAAAAAGTTTCACATCAGAGCTCTTAATTCACAGGCAAAAAAACAAAACCTCAAACAGATCATTTTTAAAATGGGAGAAAGATTTTAAAGGACAGCGCTGAATAAAAATATGTAGTCTTTACACTGGGTCACAAATCGTCTATGAAAACTGTTTAATCATATAAAATAAAGACCAGATTTTTTAATCAGATCCTGGACAGTTTAAACAAAAAAGTAAATCTGTGGTTTATTTCATAATCCCAAACTGAATCTTTCCTTTTTCTTTCTAAACAGTCCACTATGGAATTTTTCTTATAAGCAATTAACCCCAAACCCCCAAATGGTTTCTCTAGCAGTTGCTGCTAAAAACCTGGAACTTTAGATCCCATGTCCAAGAAAGATGTGCAAATGAAATGCTTCTTGCTTCATCCTGAAAATAAAACAAAAAATGTTGCATGCTTACTCAAAATGAAAATGTGTTGCGCAAGTTCCCATACCATTTAAAACTACAAATTCAATAGTTTTTTTTCTTTCTGATTTATTGCAAGTTATCTGACAAACCAATTAAGCTAAGGTGAAGAAAATTAGTTAGGCATTAGTGTTTGCAGCCTGGTATGAAGATAGCAGATTTTCAGAGTTGGGCGCAGAATATATTTTGCATAGATTTTAGCTAATGTAAATATTTAAATCCCACGAGATTGTGGGACTTTATATCCAAAAATAGCCTATGACAACTATAGTAAACAAATGCCCCATGTGTTTTCAAGAAATCACTACAGGTAAGTGTCTTAAAGGAAAGCCCCATTACATGTAGAAAAATGATCACAATACAATATATTAAAAGATTTTATGGGGAAAAAGAGAACACATGGCACTGAGTCAGGGAAGGGACATCAATACATATTTAGTTGATTTGTCACAGATAAAACTCCGAAATCTGTGTACTTCCTAGGACAATTTTCATAACGCCATTTCAGGAAAAGAAGCAGTGTTACATTAAGTGTACAAATCCATGACACACCCTGGTTTCAGATATCTAAAAAATATCTTAGAACTGAGGAAATGTATGTAAATTTTATAGGACGACAAGCTAACACAAGGCACATTTTCAGTGTATTATAACATACAGCTACTAAAGATGAAAAGTTCTTTTTAAGCACATAGCATGATGAATGTTGGGAATGATGCAAAAAGATTCTAATGGGGAAAATACTCAAAGCTACTGTATGATCATAATGAATTCTATTTCCCAGGAGAATTTCATTCCCTATAGTCAGGCTTCAATTATCATGATTAGTTTGATGTTTATTAAAATAGTTTTCAACCGTATTATAAATCTGTGAGTTAATGATTAACTTATCAACTGAAAATAATTTACACAATTGCACCTCTTAAGTTTACCTTATTTTCTGGAATCCCTGGAAGTCTTATTTTCCTTTCGGACATGAATTCAGGAACAATTCAATATATCTATGGTCTGAGAATGACAAAAAAGGATCCGTTCTTAACCCTCTGCCTTTTGAAAGCAGATCGTTTTCACTGAGATGTTGGACACTACAGGTGTCTGTCCCCAGGCCAGCAGGGACCTCTGAAGCCTTCTTCATGACCTGGCTTTTTTTCCCATCCCGTGGTTTTTCTAATGGATATTTAGGACTTTTGTAATCTCATAGCTATCCAAGCTCCACTTCCTAATTCTAAGAACTTTAATCGAAAGTTAAATTGAAGGTACTGTTTGTAGACACTTAACACCCATGAAAGCCCAGCCATCATGACAAATCCCTGAGTGCTGTCTTCAGAAAATGATGCTGGTCATCACAGCTTCAGCATCTCCTGTTTTTTGATGCTCAGCTCCCCCTGCTGATCTCAGAGTTTCCTGGCTTCTCCTTCCCCCTCTCTCACGCCTGTGCTGTCCTGTGTAGTGATCTGGTGAGCGAAACTGCTGCTTATTCCTCCACCCCTACTTCTACCCCCCTGCACTACATATGAATTTCAAGATTTATTATTGCAATATAAGTGCTTTATGCTGGCTTTTCTCAAAACAAAAGAAACAAAAAAACCCCACAAAAAACAGAGAAAGGCATTTGTAAACAAAGATAGACATCAAAAATAACAAAAACCATGGGCAGCACTTACGAACATGGGACCGATCCTTGAGCATAGCTGCAACAGCGTCCTCGTGGGTTTCGAAGTGCACATCAGCTTCTCCAGTGGCCTTCCCACTGGAACTGTATTCCATGGTGATTCTAACAGGCTTCAGTGGAGCAAAAAACTAAACAACAAACAAAGGAAGCCAAAAGGAACATAATGTTACTAGGTCAATTTCTAGAAGTCTGGTGGCTCTGCATTTTTCTTTCAGACTTTCATTCATACACCTGATAAATTTATTTGTAGGAAATCTCTTTAAGCAACAATGTAGTTACACATCTACTACCTCTGCTGGCTCTTCTGATCTTCTGAGAACTCACGGCTACATTTCAAGTATCTGTTCACAGAGAACTTAAACTATATACACAATACAATAATATACAATAGTTATCAAACTTTTCTTTATACCAACAAGGACCACTTTTATTATTCCTCCCACACACCTCCTTTCCCGTTTCTAAAAACTGTCCGTCAAATATACTTCATTTCTATTTTTTTTTAAATATTGATTGATTTATTCATTTGGCTGCACTGGATCTTACTTGTGGCATGCGGGACATTTAGCTGTGGCATGTGGGATCCAGTTCCCTAACCAGGGATCGAACCTGGGTCCCTCCGCATTGGGAGTGCGGAGTCGTAGCCACTGGACCACCAGTGAAGTCCCTACACTTCATTTCTTAATAATTCATTTTTACCATGTTTTAATCAAACATGGAGCTGATAATAAGTTTCTTATCAGCACTACCTAAACAGAGTTACCACACTGAGTGGTTAATATTCCAAACCAAACCAATTCTTTAATGAGACTGTGCAACCTTCATTTAGGTAAAAATATGATTCTTAATAGGTTTTTTGAAGTAATAAAGACAAATTCTGAGGCCCCACTACTAATTAATTCTGAGGCCCCACTACTAACTGGATCCTAGATTTTCATCTACCTTAAGCACACATCCTGGAGTTCAGGAAGTCAATAAGGGCTCTGTTATTTCATCTTTTCATTTCATAGAGTACCTATCATAAAATGAAAATATTTTAAAAATTCCTTTTCTCAAAAATCAGGGAAGCTGGATGCAAGAAGGCTATATGGTGTAATGATAACTCCAGGCATTTAGGAGTACTAGATTCGTGTCTAGTATATAACTGCCCTGTGACAAATGCTCTCGGAGTCTCCTTTTCTTAAACTCAAAGATGAATGGGCTGAGGGACTTCCCTGGTGGCACAGCGGATAAAACTCTGTGCTTCCAATGCACGGGGCCCTGGCTCAATGCCACAACTAAAAGTTTGTGCATGCCACAACTAAGAAGCCCATGTGCCGCAACTAAGACCCGGTGCGACCAAATTAATTAATTAATTAATTTTAAAAAATGAATGGGTTGAACTAATTTAGAGAAAGACCAAGCTTTTTTACATTGAATACTTAACCTACGCCATATTATTTTGCACCTATGAAATGTTATCATCCATTATACACATGACCTTAGAATGTAATAAAACCCACACCTCTCAGCCAAAGAAAATAAAACAAGCCCCCACAACTGTGGAGATGCCACCTTGTTGTCCAAAGATACTGCAGAAATACTATATTTTTCTTCTCTACCTTCCCTAAATAGAAGTTCAAAACTTTAGAACTTTTGTTCAAAGCTACTGAGATTGGATATCTTACTGCCACACACATTTATAATGTCTTGGGCATTGGCTTGGAAAGGCAATCCTCTCATGTGGACAAAATGTAGTGAAGACGTAGTTCCAAAATCAACAGCCTCTGGGATCTTTTCTGACATCTCCTTAGGCAATTCTAAGAAATGGGACAAAAAGCACTGTCAAGAACATAAACACTTCAAAAGTTATTAGCAGATTATAATTAGGAATGACCTTTATGACAAAATCCTCAATTACTCTTGAAATACCCTAGTAACGAAGAGGGTTTCAATTTTAAAAGCCAAGATGATCTGAAATTTCTGCTGCCTAACAAGTATCACCTGAACACTCATAAGGATTTAGTGTCTCAAACCATTACCAGATTACAAAAGAACGTACCTTTCTCTAACAACTGAGAGACGGAAAAATGATTATGAACGTAAAAATAAAGACAAGAGAAATTCCCTGGGTTATAGTCACTTTGAAAAAAAAAAAAGGAATAAATATGGTTAACAGGATAATCCTAGAGCACAAATTTAAAAAGTATTTATCAAACTTTTAAAGATTCCAAATGTTGCTTTGGGATTAAGAATCAAAGGAATAATTAAACACAGAGGCAAACAAAACACCTTACTTTAATCAACAATCCTGCTCTCTACACACATCATTTCCCACCTTAAGTTTAAATGTTGACATCTTACTTCTTTTTGTTGTATATGTGCAACCCAGGTTTTGATACAGAATCTGCAAAAATGATTAAATTAAAAAAAAAAAACCAATGAAATAATTAAGACCATCTTCAACCCTCCATATCTGTGAATGTGGAACCCGTGGATATGGAGGGCTGCCTATGGGACTTGACCATTCATGGATTTTGGTATCCATGGTGGGTCCTGGAACCAATCCCCTGGGGATACTGAGGGACGACTGTATTCATAGCACATACTACACTCAAAGACATATTAAATTAAACATTTAACTCAATTTCCTTTGTCCTATAATCTACAATTTGATACAACATGGTCATAAAAAAATTTTTTTTAACAAATATCAAAACGTACAAGGCAGACACAATGAGTTTCAATAAGAGGCAAATCCTGACCTATTTCCTTCTCACTTTCAAAAGCCGTCATGGGTCGGATATCCTCAGTTACTTCATGTTCTTCAAAGACCATTTCTGGCTCAGTTATATACTTAGCAGTGGGAGAAGATGCCGTTTTCTTTCCCTTATGAGAACCAACATGTGTTCGAACTTCATTCCTTCTGCTTGGAAATATCTCTATGTATCTATGTCAAAGCAAAAGTGAACAGGCATAAATGGTACAAAGTAACTTTACATTGAACTCTTTTAAAATAAAACATGCAGGGCTTCCCTGGTGGCCCAGTGGTTAAGAATCCGCCTGCCATACAAATTGTGAAATTTTTTGTTCTGGTTCTGTGAAAAATGCCAGTGGTAGTTTGATAAGGATCGCCACTGGCATTTTTCACAGAACTAGAACAAAAAATTTCACAATTTGTATGGAAACACAAAAGACCCCGAATAGCCAAAGCAATCTTGAGAACGAAAAACGGAGCTGGAGGAATCAGGCTCCCTGACTTCAGACTATACTACAAAGCTGCAGTAATCAAGACTGTATGGTACTGGCACAAAAACAGAAATATAGGTCAATGGAACAGGATAGAAAGCCCAGAGATAAACCCACGCATATATGGTCACCTTATCTTTGATAAAGGAGGTAAGAATATACAGTGGAGAAAAGACAGCCTCTTCAATAAGCGGTGCTGGGAAAACTGGACAGCTACATGTGAAGTATGAGATTAGAACACTCCCTAACACCACACACAAAAATAAGCTCAGAATGGATTAAAGACCTAAATATAAGGCCAGCAACTATCAAACTCTTAGAGGAAAACATAGGCAGAACACTCTATGACATAAATCACAGCAAGATCCTTTTTGACCCACCTCCTAGAGAAATGGAAATAAAAACAAAAATAAACAAATGGGACCTAATGAAACTTAAAAGCTTTTGCACAGCAAAGGAAACCATAAACAAGACCAAAAGACAACCCTCAAAATGGGAGAAAATATTTGCAAATGAAGCAACCGACAAAGGATTAATCTCCAAAATTTACAAGCACTCATGCAGCTCAATAACAAAAAAACAAACCCAATCCAAAAATGGGCAGAAGACCTAAACAGACATTTCTCCAAAGAAGATATACAGATTGCCAACAAACACGAAAGAATGCTCAACATCATTAATCATTAGAGAAATGTAAATCAAAACCACAATAAGATATCATCTCACACCAGTCACAATTGCCATCATCAAAAAATCTAGAAACAATAAATGCTGGAGAGGATGTGGAGAAAAGGGAACACTCTTGCACCGCTGGTAGGAATGTAAACTGATACAGCCACTATGGAAAACAGTATGGAGGTTCCTTAAAAAACTACAAATAGAACTACCATACAACCCAACAATCCCACTACTGGGCATATACCCTGAGAAAACCATAATTCAAAAAAAGTCATGTACCAAAATGTTCATTGCAGCTCTATTTACAATAGCCAGGAGATGGAAGCAACCTAAGCGTCCATCATTGGATGAATGGATAAAGAAGATGTGGCAAATATATACAATGGAATATTACTCAGCCATAAAAAGAAACGAAATTGAGTTATTTGCAGTGAGGTGGATGGACCTAGAGTCTGTCATACAGAGTGAAGTAAGTCAGAAAGAGAAAAACAAATACTGTATGCTAACACATATATATGGAATCTATGGGAAAAAAAAAAAGGTCATGAAGAACCCAGGGGTAAGACAGGAATAAAGACACAGACCTACTAGAGAATGGACTTGAGGATATGGGGAGGGGTAAGGGTAAGCTGTGACAAAGTGAGAGTGGCATGGACATATATATACTACCAAACGTAAAATAGATAGCTAGTGGGAAGCAGCCGCATGGCACAGGGAGATCAGCTCGGTACTTTGTGACCACCTAGAGGGGTGGGAGGCAGGGAGACGCAAGAGGGAAGAGATATGGGAACATATGTATATGTATAACTGATTCACTTTGTTATAAAGCAGAAACTAACACACCATTGTAAAGCAATTATACTCCAATAAAGATGTTAAAAAAAAAAAAAAAGGAATCTGCCTGCCAATGCAGGCGGATCTTGCTGTGTCCCGGAAGATCCCACATGCGGAGGAGCAACTAAGCCCATGTACCACAACTACTGAGCCTGCGTTCTAGAGCCCTCGAGCCACAACTACTGGAGACCGTGCACCTAGAGCCTGTGCTCCGCAACAAGAAGCCACCGCAATGAGAAGCCCACGCACCGCAACGAAGAGCAGCCCCCGCTTGCCGCAGCTGGAGAAGGCCCGCAACGAAGACCTAACGCAGCCAAAAATTTTTTTTAAATAAAATAAATTAAAATAAAACATGCATACATGTTATTTCTGATAGCTAACAAACAGAGGTGTCCAAAGACAACAGGTGGGGCATAAAGTAAAAATGGACATAGATATTCACCCATGAAAAAGTACTCTCAACAGAGCAGGTCACTGATTTAATCCTCCCAAGGTAAGTTTTCTTCATATACATTTTAACAAATGTTTTCTACCCTGTTTTGCTTCATGCGGACAAATATGCAAAGGTTAACTGTGTGTATGACAAGAATCTAGTGAGAAAGGTTTCATTTTGTTTTTTACAGTTGATTAACAATCTCTTGAGGTCTTACAATTCAATTCTGTGAAAATTATTCATATGTGTTTAAGATATTAAAAGTCACAATATATGAGGAGCTAACTTCTCCCAGGACTTCACTAAGAGGCTAATGAGAATTAATGAACTAAATGTCAATTCTAACTTGCTGTTTGGCTGTGGAACTGTTAAATCCAAGTTTCTGGAACCAGTTTTCTTTTTCTCAACAATGCTTTTCCAAATTAGGTTATTAAGCTTGAATTGTACAAATCCTTTGCATTTACAGACCCAGATGTGCAACATTTCTTAATTTACTGAAGAGATCTATACACTGCCTTGATGTTCCCACATAAAAACATATTACTGACGTGTTCCCAGTTATAAAAAAATATGAAGAGTACTGAAAGAAAATTAAGGGGGGCGGTGTGTGTTTTGCATGTATTTTCTTCATTAAAAATTTTTTAATAAAGACCTTTGAACCAATTCTATACGTAGATCCTGAAATAGAACGACTTTGGAATGACTTTTTTAAACTTCAAAGAATTCAAGAAAAAAGGTCAGAAAACAAGCAAGACAATGAATTAAAATTTGACACTTTTGAGTACTCCCCCAAAGTTAAAACACAAATGAGCACACAAAAAAAGAGTAAAATAAAAGAGAAAAAGAAATAAAGAAAACTAAAAAACAGAAATGAACTCAGCCCATCACTACGTGTATCCTAGTGTGATGTGATATGCAGTATACAGTATTGCCTATAGAGTATCTATTATCAAAATTGTTAACCTGAATCAATCTAAGACTTTAGGTCTAACTTCCAGTTTTCAGGAAATAATAGAGGATGCAAAGGAACAAGTTAAGTGACACTGTGAGGAAGCAAAAGGATAAACACAGGACGTGAGACACTGTACAGGACAAATGACTCAATTTCTTCAAAAGCCAATTGCATCTTGAAAAGGGGGAGGGGAATTCCCTGGTGGTCCAGTGGTTAGGACTCCATGCTTTCTCTACCGTGGGCCTGGGTTCAATCTCTGGTCAGGGAACTAAGATCTAGCAAGCTGCTCCATGCAGCCAAAAGAAAAAATAATAATAATAAAAAGGGAGAGGGAACATAAAAATAAAGGAAATGGGGATTTGCTCTAATTGAAGAGAAATGGAAGCATAACAATCAAATACAACGTATGGACCATGTCTAGATTCTGGTGAGGGAAAAAAAAAAAGCAACTGGAGAAAGACATTTTGGGTATAAATGGGAACATGTGATTACGGACTGGCACTAGATAATAAATTATCACTAATTTTGTTAAATGTGATAATATTGGGATAATGTAAAAATGTTTTCTTAAAGATGCATACTGAAAAAACAGATGCAACAAATACAACAAATGTTAAGAATTTGTTAATCTAAGTGATGGGCATTTGACAGCTCATCATACTACTCTCTCTACTTTTTCTGTGTTTAGATAATTTTACAGTCATATTATACTGCATTCATCAAAACGACCCAGTGTATTGGCCAATATGATCCTTCTGCAACATTAGTATCTGCTTCACTCACCGGTTGCCAATTTCTTCCCTGTGTTTCAAAAGGGCTTGGTTGGCCATTTCTGGTTCTTCAAACTGCACATAGGCTTCTCCTGTTTTTCTTCTCCCTCTATAATCCATGACAAAAGTAATGTCTACTATGTTCAGTCCTAGGATGTCAAAAAATTATTACAAATTAGTGCTGCTAACAGAAGCTTTTTTATTCTTAGACTTAACACATTCATTCAAATACTAAGAATTTCTTTTTAAGTTTATTAGTAAAATTGTGGGCCTATTTTGCCAGTCCCAAAGCTGAATACATGCCTAATGGGAAGAAAATTATTATGCAGCCAAAAGCTAATAACACCCACACATTCCCAGAACATTTAGGGTCCAAGCAGTCCATCTAAAACACACAATTTGTTTTTTTGCCATTAGTTATATACAGAGACTTAGACTAACATCACTACTGGTGCATATTTTACCCCTAAGATGATAATGCTTTTTTTTTTTTTAAACAGACGTGCTGTGCAGCTTGCAGGATCCTAGTTCCCTGACCAGGGACTGAACCCGCGCCCTCAACAGTGAAAGCGCAGAGTCCTAACCACTGGACTGCCAGGGAATTCCCTAGATGTTAATGCTTTTAGATCATATAAATCACTATTGTCTAAGACAAATACAGCCACTCTCATGAGAGGATATTTTCCTCAATAGTAAAAAAAAAAAAAAAAAAAAAAACCTCCACATTAAATTATTTTGAAATATGACACCCCCCAAAGATCAGTGTTTTAGATCAAAACACTTATATAATCTATAAATACTGGCAATCCAAGTGAAGAGTTCTCCCCTAAACAACCTAATATAACTGCATGCAGTTACCAGGAGAAGGTTCACCTAAGATAAAGAAGGAAACAATGGGGGGAAAAGATATGAGGCCCCAACACGATATAACTGAAAAGCACCTGCGAAGAAGTCTATAATGTCTTTCTCATTGCAACTATAAGGAAGTCCTCTCAAACGAACCACACCATCATTTACCACAGGTGTAGATTTGACATGCAGGCTCTTCATTAAGGCATCCACATCTTCATTGTTTATCTCATATACTAAGAAAAAGAGCACAAAAGGTATGCAATATTTACATAACAAAGGAAGAAGCCATTAAAAAAATAATCACACTGGGTGAGTTATCCAGGAATCTAAAAACTAGTATTTTTAACCTTACATACTTCTCTGGAGAAAATAATAAATGACATTTATCAAGTATTTACTATGCGCCAGCTGTAACATCACAACTTCTGAAGTAAACTGGGTCAACACCCTCATTTTATAGATAAGAAACTGAGATTATTTGTGTGCTTCATTTTCACACCCTGGAAAAGGGTTTTTCATAGAATCTAACTACTTCACTATTCATAATATCTAATACAGGATCAAATGAAGCTGGCTTGAAAAGTACAGTCAATGTAATGAACCCGAAAAGCTATAACACGACTTCACATACCTTCCACATACCGCTGCCCCATGTACATGCGGTGTTTTTCTAAGGCTTTTTGCACATCCTGCTCTGACTCCATTTCAATTAAGGCATCACCCCTTCGTTTCCCATCTCTATTTAAGAGGAAGTGGATTCCATTCTCACCATTGCGAATTCTGCAGTCTGAAAGTATGTGAGTAAAATCAATTAAAACCAGAAATCAAAGTTTTAGATCAATCATACAAGTCACTAGAATTGCAATCTTCCAAAACCCAAACAAAGCAATATCCAAAATGCCTGTCATTTTCCTTACACAAACCCCCATCACTGAAGACGTCCAAATGCTGATGAGCTGCTAGTCTCTAAAATGATCCATGTGGAGAAATAAGCGAACCTTAGCACAAAAGCTTATGACCCCCTGATCATTAAATGGCAAATCAGGCTAGGCTCAATACAAAATGTAATATGGACTTCCAAATGCTTCTACAATCAGTTTCAAATCACTTAAGAAATTAAAATACGGTTTCTGCGTAAGTGTCTTCTTTCGTTATGATCATATCCGTAAGAACTCTAATATATCTCCTATAAGAATAATTTAACTTTTCCCCCTTTTCATTACCAAAGAAAGACATCCCCATACTGCACACTACTTATACTGGGAGCAAGCTGAAGATGTAAGTGGCTTTATAAACTGCTTGATCCACACAAATGCGTATCAGGTACTTAATACAGTTACATTGTTTTAGAACATTTAAGGCAACACCTTCTAAAGGCTTCTTAAGAGGGAGGAAAATTAAAAATCAGTCAGATACAGAAACTTTAACTACAGATGCATAAACCTTCAAACATGTTATTAAGGGAATTATATCACTTGCTAAGTGATCTTGTATTCTAAATGTATGTTATTACATAAAAAGCTACTCAATCTATATTCTCACTAACACATTCCCGCTAACAGGTTTCACCTTTTGATATGTACGTATTAAAACTTCAGAGAAAACGGGTTTTGCATCATGTAGTTTTTTAACATTAAAATTTTTTCGGTATTCAACCTGGTATATATGACAAATGATACACATGATGTCACTATGCATATGTAACCAGCCAGAATGAGACAATTCCCATGCATCAAATAAGATGTCTACAGCACAGCCTAACTTGAATTTTATGGGACTACCTTTCAGTCAGATGAAATTACATATTCAAAACATACATAAAATATACCTGAGAAAAAGCTAAGCACATCTTCTACAGTGCACGACCACGGTAATCCTTGAGCTCGAATGAGATAAACGTCGTCCACTTCCTCTCCTAACTTGGACGGAGGCAATTCATATTCAGGGAGAGGTGGAAGGTCTTCCAGGTAGGTAGTTTTGGACTCCTTCCAAGAGAAATGAAGAAATGTAGAAATATTTCTTGAACAACCTACTTAGAAAATTTATTTTCAAAGTTTATTTCTACAAATTAACACCCTGGATATTATTATTTGGGGACCATCAGTATTTCAGAGGCAAGAAGTAAAATTCACAAATCTAACTCATCCTATTTTGGCTTAAATTGTACATCCTAAAGCAACAAGCATGTATAGCCTAATGGTTTGGCAGGACATAAATTTTATTCCAGGCTTGTTTTTAAATTCATCAGTCCCGAAGTACACCTCATAATAGTGTTTTAGTTAAGGCAGGACAACAGGGGTCCCTTCAATTTAACAAATATGTATCTCCTAATCACAGCACACCATAATTAGGCCCTCATCTCAAAAAGCGTACCATCCAGACTAAGACAAGCACACAAGACAGATGCTTTAAGGGCTATAATTAAGATACAAGATATTATAGAAATTCATAACAGAGCACCAACAGAAGAATCAAGACATGATACGAGATGAGCCTTGAAGGAAGGCTAGAATTCTGAGAGAAATATATAAAGGATAGGCATTCCAGTTTGAGAAGTGAGGGGAAGAAACAGTATGAACAGAAGCCCATTTGCAAAACAGCAATAATTCCATTTGGCTAAACTGTAGGGTACAATTAGGAGCCAAAGAAGATGAGCTGGCAAAAAAAACTGGGTACCACATAGCAGAGGAATTGAGGGTTGAGCTCAGTGTGTGTCGTTAACCTGGTAGGCAAAGGGGAGCTAATAAAAGACATTTAGAAGTGTGTAAATAACAAGACAGCAGGATGCTTGGAAAGATTAATTTGTCAACTAGTATGTCAGACCAACTGAATAAGGGAAAGATCACAAAAGGCAACAGCAGTAGTGTGAGGTAACAGGAGCCTGAGACATACCCAAAGAACTCTATTTTACAACACTAAACAAAAACCGAAATGTTATAAGATTCCAACAAGCACAACCATAACCAGGGAAGACAACTCAGGTTTTAAGACTTGCACTCTACTAGGCTAAGGAAATAGATTTCTCTGTACCATCCTACCATTTACACGAAGATTTATGTCTAATTTTAAGGAGTAAATGATAAATGTAAACCTCCAGCAGAGGCTTCATACATTATTTAATAAGAATGCAACAAGCACTTCAATTATCAACATGGGAAGACAACTCAGGCTTTAAGTCAAATGACTTGCACTCTATTGGGCTAAAGAGAGAGATACTTCACTCCTTTGTATATCCCCATCATTTTCATGGAAATTTACACATAATTTTATGCAATCAATAATAAAAGTAAGCACAGAGGCTTACTTACTGGCAGAGCCTCAACAGATCATTATGCTAGTCAAATTCACAGAAAAAAATAATCAAGTAAAGAGAGTAACCAGGTCACAAAGGCTTATTAGAGACAGTTTTTTTGTTGCTTTTTTTTTTTAATAAGAGCAACATTCCCCATTTTCCCAGAATTCCATAAGCATCACAAGCTTTCACTGAAAAGGGCAGCAGAAAGTATTGGGCCAGGATTCAAATCAATTAGCTCAGCCACTGGCAGACAGCAGCCACGCTGATTAGCTTCCCAGTTTCCCTAAGTTCAAGGAGAAGCACAAATTGAATTAACAATAATATGACCCAAGGCATCAGGAACATGGTAGTCAAAAAGTGTGCGGACATTTCCCAGATGCCACGTAAGAAGCAGAAAAGAAAGCTTCCTACGAGGCACAAAACATTTGCAATGTGAGTACTTAAAGCATACACTGACTCAAAAAAAAATACTGTAGACTCACTCCTGCGTCCCCAAACCATCGCCTCAGCCCCAGACGCCTCCTCTCCTCGGTCCCCCTACCCTCGGTCCCCCTCCCCCAATGTCAGTCTCCAAACTGTCCTTCCCATCAGCGGTGACCCACGGTCCGAAAGGACCTTCTGTCAGAGGAAGTGAAGGTGCAGAGGTGACCTTCAGTAACTGGGGCAGCCCGCCTTTCCCAAGGGACACGAGAGCGAGGAGAGCGCTGGGGTCCAGCCTCCCTCCCCACAAACCTAGCCCACGCAAGTGTGTGCGTGAACCTTCGTAGCAGCGGGCCGCGAGGCGCACCAAGGGCCGCCCAGGCCTAATGCTCGGGCGGCACGGAGAGTCCCAGCCCTCCGGGGGTCCGGCCTCCCAACTTCACCACCTGCGGGCGGAGAGCGACAGAGATGCGCGGTGGGGGCGTCAACAGCCTCACAAAACCTACCATGGGCGGGCGGGAAACAAGGCCTCAACATTCACCCCCAGCCACACTTACACTGCCCAACCGACCAGAGACTCGAGAGGAGAACAAAACAAGGAGAAAACCCGAGCGCTGGGAGACCGTCCCTTGTTCTGGGGCCCAATAGGAGGACTGGGCGGGTGAAGGTGGGAGCGGGCGGGGGGCTGTGGCGCGTGCCGCGGATCCCCGGGCGCGCACTTGAGGCGCACGCGGAGGGGCGCGGGGGCGCGTGCGCACTGCCGGGGAAGGGTCCCGCGCGCGGCCCCTCTCGGCGCCCACGTACCTGGCTGTAACCGCGCGCCGGGCCCGCCGCCGCCGCCGCCAGCGACTGCGGCAGCAGAGGGGCGCGCAGGGCCGGGTAAGAGGCGGCGGCCGCGGCGGCGGCGGAGGCGGCCGCTGGGGGAGGCCCCGCCAGCCTCCCGGCCGGCACAGGCCCAGTCTGGAGGCCCCGCGTGTGAGAGGCGGCGGCCGCGGCGGCCCCGAGCAGCAGCAGCAGGCGGCGACGGCCCGAGACTCCCGAGGGGAATGAGCCGGCGGCCGAGTAGAAGGGCAGGCAGGCGGCGCCGGTGCGCCGGCAGCTGCTGCAGTTGCAGCCGCAGCCCCGGAGCAGCGCCCCGAGCACCCAGCGCGTCCCGGCCATGGACTCCGGAGGCGGCGCGGGGCCTGAAGGCGGCTGCGGCTGCAGCGTGAGCGGAGGGGAAGTGGAATCCAGGGCCGGGGAGGGGTTGCCGGGCACATGCGCCGCCGGCACCAGGGGCAGCGGCGAGTCGGGAGGAGGCGGAGGAGAGCGCGCTGCTCCGCCCGGTCTCCGCCCTCGGGGCGGGGCGGGGCGGGGCTGCCCGCGGGCCGGGAGGGGCCGGGGGCCGGTATGATCGCCCGGTTATTCTTTCACTTGGTGGAAACTGAGGCCTGAAGAGGACGAGGCTTCCTTCTCTGGAGGGCTGAGCCCTGGAACGGATATCTACCGACGCTCTGCACTTTCTCCACAGTCTTGTGACGTGAGGGGCAAAAGGGACGTTCCTGGAAGGAATTGTGATACTCTGGTTATAAAAAGAGGTTGGGATAATACTGGCGGAGATTTAATAACGCCCCCTCCACGCCCCCCAGCTTGGGTTATGTGCGGAAAGCCAGCTTTCTTTGTTTTAAAATGAAATCTATAGATACTTGTTATATGTTAATAACGAATACAGGTATTCCTCCGCTGGTAGAAAGTTCACAACAGGCCGCTTCGCTTTTACCGAAGACCCATATTAGTACCTATTTTTGCTAGTGGAAAGAAATGTGATTTTCACTTTTATGGGAAAAGGCGAAAATTTAAAATAGTAGTCGGCGTTTGTTTTACAGCAGCCGTGGTAGAGGCTGCAGTGGCATCGCCAAGCTCTGTCTTGGGACACTGTACTCAGCATCTCCCTGCTATAGCTTTGAACTGTGTATTTGAACATCTGTGCTTTATTTCCTTAGCAAGATGTCTTCTAGGGTAATTGCTTCCTCACTTTATGCCATTTTGGCTTCCAAAAGGTTTCATAGGAACGCTCTGCTTTCGGACAGCAGGTGAAACCTGTATAACAAAGATTAAAGCCCCTCCTGAGGTTTCAGGAATAGACAGGCAGAGGTTTGCGAAGGAATGGTTGTGCAGTTTTCCTCCTCCGGTGGCCAGGACCCCTCTCAAGGAAGTTCAGAGAGTGAAAAATAGAAAAAGCTAAAATTTTAAAACTTTTTATTGTGGAAAATCTCAAAGAAAAGTATAATAAACTTCTAGAATTTCAGAAATTGTATCAACGTTTTTCATTCTTGTTTCATCTCTCTCTTGTTTAAAATATCTGGACTATTTTAAAGCAAACCCCAAAGATCATGTCAATCATCCTTTCAGCATTCATCTTAAACTGATAATGACTTAAAAGGGAAAAAATGACATTCAGATTAGTTGTGTTAAAAAAATTCAACTGAGTAAAATTTAAAGATATTGGCTTTATCCAACAATTCAGGAATTGGGCAGCATCTCATCTAGTAGGTAAAAAGGAGCTGTATAAAATGAAAGACTTTTATAGGCAGAAGAGGGCGGGACAAGGAAATCATACTAGCAAAAAGTGAATTGGGGGGCTTCCCTGGTGGCGCAGTGGTTGAGAGTCCGCCTGCTGGTGCAGGGGACACGGGTTCATGCCCTGATCTGGGAGGATCCCGCATGCCGCGGAGCGGCTGGGCCCGTGAGCCGTGGTCGCTGATCCGGTGCGTCCGGAGCCTGTGCTCCGCAACGGGAGAGGCCACAGCAGTGAGAGGCCCGCGTACCGAAAGAAAAAAAAAAAAAAAGTGAATTGGTTGTGTGAAGGTTGCTTTCCTTTAGGGCGTAGTTGGGGTCCATCGGGAAGACTACCTCACTAGTGCTGATCAGGTAATTCCTGATTGACTAGTTTAAGATTCCATTTCTGCAAAAGCCCAAAAGTGTAATTAGGTTTGGTGATGTGGGGCTTAGCATAAGTGACTCCATTTTGGACCTGTTTTGTTTTTAACAGCTGGTTTAAAGTATGAAAGATTATTGCATTTAAAGTTTGATTGTTTACTCTGGCCTACTTTTAGGGAAAGGAAAGTTCAGTATTTCCTAGAAAACCCTTTACTCACCAAAAAAAGTGAAGAACAGGAAAAAATCTGATTGGCTTGGCTCTATGGACCTGGAATATCAAAGAGAAGGGAACTTCTGAAAGATTTAGGAATCCTAGAGTTTGTTTTTTCCTTAGATTTCCCATTCAAGAAGGAAAATGGGTTAGCTCTTCATAACAGATTATCACTACTACAAATCACAATTTGGGGACATGTTAGGGATTCTGTCCATATTTACAGAATCTTGCCTTCATCTTCTTAATAGCCAAAACCATCATCCATATTGTGTAATTCTGAGTGGATTAGAAACCTAAATACATAGAGTGAAATCTTACAGATTATAATCAGGAGTAACACCTAACTACCAAAATGGAAAGCTTTAGTTTTTATTTAGAGGAAGTTGGGAGAAAATAAAAGAGAAAAGAAACTAACTTTGAACACTTAGTCATTCATCTAACAGACACTTATTAAGTGCTTTTTGTGTTCCAGGCACTGTGCTATGCTGTATGCATTCAGGGATACAATAATAAGTTTACGGACTAAATATCAAAATGATGTTTAGACTTACATATGTTTGGATTATATAAAGAGAGAATAGCAAATTTTGAAAATTGAAACTAATGTCTTATGGAACACCAGATTTTAAAAGTTGTGTTAATAAATATTATTTTAAACCCAAATAACTATAACTAGTCCTCTTTACTGCTAATTTTATTATGGAAATAAAAAGACTATTGAGCAAAAAAAAAAACTACATTGAGAGACTTCTTGAGTAGGGTTATGACAATGGAGATGAAGAGAAGAGGGAAGATTTGAGAGATTTTTTTAGGAGGTAGAATCAACAGAATTTGAGGCTAGATTAGAAAGGGGGAATAGTGTTTTCTGTTATTTTGTTATTATTTAGAACTTGGAGGGATGGATGGCGATGACTTTCATACCTGGGAAAGTTTAGAATTCAATATAGATATATTGGAAGCAAATCAACCCCATTTTGGGTTAAGCCAGAGAAGTCTGTCCTAGAAATATTTATTCAGTAGCTGTCGGTATAAATGAAGCTGCTGGTTGAATGAGATTGCTAGGACTAAGTTTAGAGTGAGAAGAGAAGAAGGCCTAGAAACAAGGCTTGAGGTACTACAACACTGAATGCCCCATACAGGAAAATAAACTAACAAAAGGGGAGAAAGGAGCAGCAAGAGAGTTAAGAGTAAATTAAGGAAAGCCAACAGAGTATTTCTGGAAGGAAATAGATAGTATTCAACAGTGTCAAGTCCTTATTAAGATCAGGATGTACTCATCAAGTGAGGTGAGAACAAGAAAAAGTCTTGGATTTAGTGATATGGGAAGGTTTCAATAACCTTATCCACAATTGTTTGGGGGAGTGAGAGCAGAGGCCAGAAAAAAGCACAGGTGAGGAAATGGAGATAGAAGTGCAAAATAAGTTATTTTGTAGGTGAGAAAACAATAAGGCAGTAAAGGAAGTATAGGTCAAAAGTGGCTTTTGTTTTGCTTTGTTTGGATTAAACTGAATGAGAGTAAAGCATGCTGAAATGCTGGCGGGAAAGGATTCAGATGATAAAAATTTGAGTAACCAGAAGAAAATAGGCATAATTGGTGTGTGGGTTCCTAGAAAGGTGAAAGAGGAGAGGCATCAAAGCTCAGAGGCAGAGATTAGCTTTAAATAGGAGAAAGCTCCTCCACCGTTTCTATAAGTTAATCATAAAGCACATTGTTCTTCTAGTGTGGTCATTTAGCACTTATTACAGTACTAAATACAGAGTAGCACTGAGAGGGTGTCAGCCTGCTTCTCTGAGGAGAATTCCTGAGGTAGAACTACTTAGTCTAAATTGGTGTAAAGAAACACTGGATTTGGGGGAGCGTAAGGAGAAGGAAGGAGAAGAACGACTGCCTTGCATCACTAGGAAAGAATGTTCTAAAGAAGCCCTCTTGGCTCTAAAGAGCACATTATTAGGAGCTGGGAAAGGAGCTGGAAGGGGACAACTGTTCTAATTACTAATAAATAAGTGAAGGAACTCATTTTATTTTCCATGCCCCTCAATCCTTAAAGGTGAACACACTTTTTCTTCTGATACGCAATGAGGTTGAGTTAATCTCAAAGGATCCCACCCCACAGCTACCTTTGCATTTGAAAGAAACAAAAAATCATGAACCATGGATGTCAATAAGCCTAGGGTGGCAAAAGGAAAAGGAATTGAAGTCAAGTACCATAAAGAAATGGTGCCCATTTGTGTAACCTGTGATTAAGGTGCTATTCATCATCCAAGATTAAAGGAAGAAGTTTATTACGTTGAGTAGATACAGAGAACTTCAGGAATTGAAGCTACCAGTTACTTCCAAGGAAAGACAAAGAGGTGCATTTTATCACCACTATCACTGCTTTATTCTTTTATCTGACAAGAAAAATTGATCCACTGGATCCACAAGCTCAAAGATTTGTTTCTGCTGCAGTGATGTGTTTCTTAGGTTAACTTTGTCATTTGGTCTATATTCACTATTAACAAGTCCCATGCTAACCAATTTTTATCTCTCCCATAGATTGCATTTGGATAACCCTTCTGTGATGGAATAAAAATAATAATCATAATATTTATGATTGACACATAACAGACCTCTAAATACTGCAGCTTCTTCACTTATTCATATTAACTTGTTAATTAAAAGCTTTTGCACAACAAAGGAAACCATAAACAAAACAAAAAAACAACCCTCAGAATGGGAGAAAATATTTGCAAACAAAGCAACTGACAAGGGATTAATCTTCAGAATATACAAACAGCTCATGCAGCTCAATATCAAAAAAACAACCCAATCAAAAAATGGGTGGAAAACCTAAATAGACATTTCTTCAAAGAAGACATACAGATGGCCAACAAACACATGAAAAGATGCTCAACATCGCTAATTATTAGAGAAATGCAAATCAAAACTATACTGAGGTATCACCTCACACAGGTCAGAATGGCTATCATCAAAAAAATCTACGAAAAATAAATGCTGGAGAGGGTGTGGAGAAAAGGGAACCCTCCTGCGCTGTTGGTGGGAATGTAAATTGGTACAGCCACTATGGAGAACAGTATGGAGGTTCCTTAAAAAACTAAAA